TTCAGCATCTTTTTATCAACCTGATCCTGTCACAGACGTACGTTGACCTGTGTCATTACCAAAGTGAAGCCAACTTCAGCAGAGAAAACTAATGAGTTTCAGCCTTCTCTAGTGATTCCAAATGTAGATCCCTCTGTTCCAGTGTTAGTGACTGATGTTCAGATGGAACAGAGTCTGAGATTAGGATCACACTTAGGGAAAATATATCGTCGTGACTGTAGTGTCACAATATATTGTATCGGTGCCTGTGTATATATATCTTTGTGTCTATAGCAACACAATATACTGTAAATCGTAACACTGCCCCCGTATCGTGATAACATATCGTATCGCCAGATTCTTACTTTGATGTGATCGCTGCTCTTTGTTCCTGTTGTTGTTAATTTGTTCACACTACCTGTTGGATCAACATTAGTCTAAAAAAATCAATTTGAATATGACCAAGGTCAGACAGTAACACGTTATCAACTTTATACTTAACTACCCATGTGACCAACTGAAACTAGTACAGACTGGTACAGAGTAGACTTTGTCCAACTGGGAAAAGTGGATGAAATCTAACTAAACACCTTTAGTGCGGTCAGTAAATTTATTATCAGTGTGGTAAAAAATGAATAGCAAACATGCTAATGAATGAGCAGTCACCAATCATCAGAGGGATGCAGTGGCAGCTGCAGTGTTTTCTGCCTCAGATGAAAAACATTTATCTTTCTTACATTTACAACGTCCCTCGATGGTGTTTTCCTTTTTTCTTTTTTTACTTGTAATTACGATAGTGACCACGGCTCTAAATTTACGTGATGCAATTTTATTTCCCGAGCCACACTTGAAATATCTCCATCATCATCTGAGACGTTCAGACTTCAGTCATTGCTGATACTGTGCTAATGTGGAGCGGTCAACTTGTTTTCTGCAGCCTGAAGAGAAGCAAGGCTTGAGGTTTGCTTCCTTTAAATTGGTATTCACGATCAGGGATGTGATAGAGCCGGAGTTAAATTGTTCCCGTGCCGCAGCAAACTGCTGGCAGCTGCTTCTTTCCCAGGTGACTTGTTTCTTCTATAAAGACATGTGAGACACCATGTCGTACACGAAAATAAAACAACGTGGGCTAATACGGCGGCTCACGTCGAGGTAAAACTCAGGAGGCTGTTTGAGCTGCAGCTGAAAAATGTGTCAGCTTCTAAATATGTGAAGTGAGGTTTAACCTGCAAACGCTGAGAGAGACGGAGTGCAGAAGGTGCAGGAATGGCCCTCCAAGGAAGTGCTTTAGACCGTGTTCCTTTAAAGGTGGAGTACGTAGAAATTTCGCATGACAAACTGATAATGAAAATCAATAATATGAAATTATTCACCTCGGCTTTTAATAGGTCGCAGACCAGATATTGTATATGGTTGAGTTTATATCTGTGGTACTGTATCATGTACTACCTTCAGTCAAGGGTTGTCAAAATGAATGGGTTTATTGTGTTAATTCCTTTTAACACTCATCACTTTTCAACATTAATAATCGTAGTTGTAAGAAAATATCAATACACTGAAATATTGAGATATTTTGTCTCACAAAACTGTTGATATTCTACAGTATCAATTTATTTTTACCACCAATTCTCAGTCCAATATTCCTGGTGTTGGTTCATTTTCTTTTTCTTTTCTTTTTCTCTAGTGATTCCAAATGTAGATCCCTCTGTTCCAATGTTCTGGGGAAAAGTCTAATTCTCTAAACAAACATTTGTTGTGTGGTGGGATTATATATATATATATATATATATATAGTTTAATGTGGTGGTTATGTCTCAAAATAATTAACGTTTGTCACAATCCTGTAGGAAGCGCTCAGCAATAAAATGTTTATGGTTGCAAAAAGTAAGCAAGAATCACTTCTCCTCCCAACAATAACCATTTAACATCTAATTAAAATTTAGCCGAGCCATGCAGTTGTGTTCAAGTCCAGTGTGCTACAGTAGTAAGATGCCAACTTTGCAGCGAGACACTTTGGAGTGGTGAAAAGAACCCTGACACTGGATTCTGGGAGAGTGAAAACATGTTGTGTGAAGTGATGAATCATGGTCCTTTATTTGGCAGTCGGAAAGAGGATTCTGGGTGCGATGAGTGCCAAGAGAAAGTTACATGCTTCACTGCACTCTGCCAACTGTAAAGTTTTATAAGAGACATATTGATATTTCTTTAGGGCTGGCTGACACTGTTTAGAAGTCTTAATGCTTAAAGTTACCGAGACATGTGGACGGCTCTGTGCCCCCGACTTTGTGGGACAGTGTGAGAAAAGACGTTTTCCTGTTCCAGCAGGATTGTGAGACGAGGCACAGTGGGGTACGGCTGGTGAAGGAGAAAGGCTCCGTCGCCTGCTGAGAGTCATGATTTAAACTCTGTTAAACTTGTTGGAGATTAACCAAACTGGATATAACCAGTCGCGGTCAAGGAATTTTGCCTGCAGTGAGTCAGGGTGGCTCAACATGTGCTATATATATTGTTGTACCAATTTTTTAATGTAGCTATTTAGGGAATGTTATTAATTACTAAATGCAAATAGCAAATGTTTTTCGTACAACTACAGCAGATCATTTGAAGACTTTCTGGTCTGTGATGCCTGTCATCTGGTCTATTGAGCTAACGTTAGCTCTGTACCAGGACTGTTGTAGCTAACATTAGCCCTAGTGTCTGTACCAGGACTGTTTTAGCTAACGTTAGCTCTGGTGTCTGTACCATTAGCCCTGGTGTCTGTACCAGGACTGTTGTAGCTAATGTTAGCTTTGGTGTCTGTACCAGGATTGTTTTAGCTAACGTTAGCTCAGGTGTCTGTAACATGACTGTCTGTACACCTGCCTACAGGGCTGGAGTGTGTGCACAGAAGTTAATGAGTGATAACATGTCTTTAAAAAAAAACAAAAACAAACAAAAACACATAATTATGTCTGTAATCAAATTTGCTTCATTTAAGTCTCAGTTCTCCAGTAATGTGATGACAGATACTGCCTCAGAAATACTGTGTGAATGGTAACAAGGTAAAGCTCTCCAGTAATGTGATGCCTTGGAAATACTGTGTGAATGGTAACAAGGTAACAAAGCACACATACATTTAATGAGTTGAAACATATGAATTATGAGGCCTGTAATTATACCAGGGTCTGGTCTGTTTGAGAAACCATGTAGAAGAAAGCACTGCAGGGCTCACTGCAGCAGGAAGACTGCTGTTATTTTACTGACAATGACTTTGCTGTATAGAGAATGAAGAGCCCTCCTTTAGGGTTCGTCCTTTACACACACACACACACACATTTAAAGGAGCCTCATAACAGACACCCAGTCCCATACAGTAGCTCGGTTGAGGGAAGGTTTTAATAAGTCCACAGTATTGTGGATCCATGAGGCCGTCTCGGGACCCAGCCAGGAAACTAGATGAGCGTACCTGCCCTGGGGCACAGAGAGTTACAGCAAGTGTGGGGGCGGGACCAGGGTGGGGTGAGGCAGTGAAGCCACAGGCACATTATGTCTTTCATTGCTGCGACTTTTTCTCTCCCCTGCAATCAGGATCTTCACTCCCCCCTCTGGGTCCCCGCTCACATCATCAGCTGCACAGAGCCGCGGCCGCACTGATGTGTTTGTCAGAGAAAAGGTCCAATCACTTTAATAACATTTCATGCCATCTCTGCTTTCACCGTGGACTGCAGTTTGTTCTTTCGCCGGATAAATGCGGACTGTAATTCAAGACAAACGCGGTGGAAACGCTGAGCGCGGCCAATCAGATTTAATTATGTATAAAGGAATGTAATTTTGGAGGACACCAGGGCAGGAGGAGCTGATACGGATATTATTTACTATGTGGAAAGGCGTGTCCACACTCCCCGAATATGAATTCATGATGGGCTGCTTGTGATTTCAATCTGACTAATGTATCAGAACAAACCCATCTGTGCAGCACCGACCCCCGAGGTGAGGGTTGAAGGGGACTGAGGGGAAAACGCTGTGAGCGTGGGCGGCGGGTTTAAAGTCCCACCATGAGCCACGGTGGCCAGAGAGACGAAAATCAAATCTTCTGTTTTCACATTTGTGAAGCTAGAAACGAGTAAATGAGGCGTTCAAGGACGACAGACCACAACAACTTCCATGGGAAAAATTTTATTCATCAATAATGCGGATGTTTCCAAACTGGTGGAACATTATTTCCATCGTAGCTGGTGCCAATAGGTTACGCTGAGAAGCGGCAAAAAAGTGAATTGCAACAAAAGAAAAAAAAAGAAATAAAATAAAAAAACTTGACAGTAATGATTCAAACAAAGTCAACAGGTTTTTGCTTACACATGCACACTGAAACATAATACTGTGGCTTTGAACAATAGCAGAAATCAACTGACAGTAAGGCTCCTCCAGCGACCGGCAACCTTGTTCTAAATTAGGAAAAAGAGAAATGACACAAGAGAGCAGTGGAGGGAGGGGGTGAGAGAGAGAGAGAGAGAGAGAGAGAGAGCAACTTTAAAACAAAGGACCGCCTGGGAGATAATGAGTGGTGTAAACCAGATGATTTATTGGCGAGTGCAATACGGTCACACTCTCATATGTGGCCCCTTTTTCTTTTTTTACTCTCTTTTCTCCCCCAGCTCCCACACCCTCCTCCACCCCCTCGCCCTCACCCTCTCTTCCTCTCTCTGTCTCGCCCAACAGACTTATTAAAACAGAGAAAGGATTAATCACGTTGTTGTTATACTGAACATTATAATGCAGTGAAGTCGTAGATACCTGAAGGCAGTGGAGTACTACTACGCAGAGTTAAGTGCCGCCCGACTGTGGTGACGCTGATCCGTTTTAAAGTTGCTCAGTGAAAACCTTCAGTTACAATACGAGTGTTTCGGAGCCACGACCATCCTGCAGGACTGCGGCGTAAAAACTGTGAGAGTGTTTCGGAGCCACGACCATACTGCAGGACTGCGGCGTAAAAACTGTGAACCCATTGGTGGATTCGTTGTGTTTCTCTTTAATACGTGTGGTAACAAAGTTTCTTGACAATACTGGACACTGTGAAAAGAGACAGCCTCTGTGTCCGTTGCAATATTCCGTTTAGGTCTAAAAAGAAAATAAAATAAAGACATATTGCAAACACAGACAAAAATGCAAGAATTCTTACAAAACACCCTTTTTTAAAAAAGACAGCTATTTACAAACTTTCCTCCATTACAAAAATCTAATTTTAAATTTTTTTTATTATGAGCAGTGTTCAGGTGAAATTACATCATAAAATGGGCTCAAAATCCATGTATTTACATTTTTTGTTTTTTTTACTTCTGATATCTCTTCTTATTGTTTTCTATCTCCGCCTCCCGCCCCGGAATCTGAATTTTAAAAAGTGGTCTGAAGAATGAACGAGAATGAGATATGGTTGGTGATAATTTGGTAACGACTCCCTTGGCTGGTTTAAGTGAACGGATGTGAAGCCATGTGAAACAAAAATATTTGATCTGGATGTGTTTCACAGAGAGCCGCCGAGGGGCTGCATGCTGAGTTAAAACGCAGGACCACAAAAGCACGAGCAGCTGTTTAGGCTGTTAACTCTAAATTTAACGACACGCAAAAGCCATTGGAGTCTTCCCAGAGTCTTCAAGCTGGACTGCCTTTTATCTCAGCAATGTAAATCTGCGAACGACAATCGTTTGTGGCAGCCGACGATCGGTCATTCTCCGCCAGTGGATCAGCCACAGCCTGACCTTATGTCTGGAGAGATCAACCTGGACGTGTGTGTGTGCCTGTGTGTATATGTGTGTGTGTGAGAACATGTTCATGAAACAACAGTTTATCTCTCTCTCACACACACACACCGTCATGTGACTGCGATGCTTCTTACAGTGCAAACGCAGAGAGAAAAACTGCAAATATAAGCAAAAAAAAAAAAAAAACACACAGAGATCCAATCATCCAGCTACAGGCAGAGCTCACTGTACACACATGTGTGTGTGTGTGCTAACATCCAGCTGCAGTAAATCTGCCCCACGGTCTCTGCCCTGGACTGGGTGATAGCTGAGCTGCAGCGTCCTCGCTGCCTTAACACCTTGACTGAGGAAAACTCGGCACAGCATTTTTATTCACAGCACAACTAGTGAGCGGATGGAAAATTGAATGCTAAACTGCACTGCCCCCCCCGCGCCCCCACCCTCACCCCCACCCTCGCCATTTCTCCCCTCTGTTGCCATCTTGCTTTAAAGTTGAAGCCAAGTCACAGGAACATTTTCTCTCTCTCTCTCTCTGTCTCTCTGTCTCTCTCTCTCTGCCCTGATGGCACACAGATGAATCACATGCTGGTGACATCACGGACTGCCGACTCCACCGACTCATTTACAGATGGCAGCAAATTGGCATCTGACAGTAATGCATCCCAATGTTCAGCCGTTCATCTGGTACACGCGGGCCACTCGTTGTCTTTAGGCTAACGAGCACCAAATCACCGCAGCCATGTTTGATCACCGTTTCATTACTGCGCCGCAAATCTGTGCCACCAGTATTTGCCTGTTTGCAGTCCGTCGTACAGTAACCTAATGCCCCGCCCCCTAAAGAAATCAGTCTGCCTGGATACCACACAAGACAAGACATGTCCAAACACACACCCAGAGGACACAAGTAGGTCATAAATACCAAAGTAACTGGTAAAGCTGTCATCAGGACAGCGGAGGAGGGAGGTTAGCATATAAACACACACACACACACACACACCTTTAAGGGGGGCAACGAGATGATTCTTTTTGGCGGGGGAAGTTGATGACATGGCTAGTGAAAGGATGAAGGGTCTAGTAATGACCATCTATTAAATTCTATACATTGTGCACTTGTAGGAAAAGTTTAACAAAATACAACTGCTTTGTGAACTGACTCAGGGTTCGTGGAAATCCTCCATCAAAAATAGTTAAGTAAGGCAAACATCAGAGGTGCGAAGGGAGAGGAGCACATCATTTCACACACTGTGTCTAATACCTGAGCTATCTGGAGAGTTTCCTGGTCCAGCACTGAGCCATGACGAGCACACTCACACGCACCGACATGCACTCATGCACACACACATTCGCGGACGCACATCTACGCCTGCACACGGACTGCAGGCTGAGTGGCGTTCGGGGGCCTGTGTCTGCCTGTTTCTTGCTGGTGTGCTAGGGTGGTGTGTTTAATTGGGTGTAGCACAGACTGTACTGGAGGGAACGGAGATAAGTTATATTCTGCCCATTAAAGCGGACAGCAAACCAGGAAGCTAAAGTTCCATCTGTTGATTTGCTCCAGCCCTGTTCTCCGTTGGTGCACAACAGGGGGAGGGGGGGAGGAGAAGTTTTGGAGGGGTGAGGGTGAGGGTAAGAGGAGGAGGAGGAGAAGGAGGAGGGTGAGGGTTTTTTTTATTTTTTTTTTAGTCAAACCAAACAAACAAAATAAACCTCTCATCAGTCAGCTCACAACCCAGACAAGGAACTGGTCAGTGCGTGTCTCTCCAGATTTGTGCAGCAGGTGGTAGAAATAACAAGGGCTTGAAAAAGCATCAGGTCCCAGAATGCAAAGGAAGGTGATCTTCCCAGGAACATAAATCAAGCGCTCCTCCTTCCTCGCTCCTGGTTGAATCGCTGGCTGTGCAGAGCCTGTCAGACCTTGTAGTAGATGTTGGCGGGGCTCTGTGGGGGCATCTCCTGGACGATGTAGACGGGGTGGCCATAGTCGCCGCTCACCTTCTCATAGTGAGGGCAATAGTTGTTCTCTGTCCGCAGCGGAATGATGATGTCACTGGGCTCAGTGCCAGCTGTGCCCCCGGGTAGCTTGGGATTGGACAGCGTGCTGAGTGATAGTGCGGAGGGGCGGGGCTGAGAGTGGGTGTTTTTCCTCGCCCGCTTGCGCATCTTGATGAGCAGAATGATGAGGAGTAGGATGAGCAGGAGGAAGATGACGCAGCCGGCCACGATGGCAGAGAACACGGCCACTCTGGACCCAAAGATGCCGTCTGTGTTTGACGAGGAACCCTGGTCCTGATTCATGTGGTCTAGACAGAGGAATAAAAAAAAAAAAGAGCCGCGAGTTAGAGACAGTGTTTCAGGGGGAGGCAGGGTCACAGAAGCAAGGGCGTATGGGTAATTTATTTCTGCTGAAGGAAGAATATTCTTT